TGATCTCACGGTACCAGGCATATCTCCCCTGCCATGCTGCCGGGCCACCTGCTGGCTCTTGCAGGGGGAGCAGACGGGAACATAAACTCACCCTAGTAGAGCGGGATGTTTTCTGTATATTTTTATGACTAGGAATCCAGCTCCTATTTAGAGTCTCTATTTTTTTAATAACTCCTTCAAAATTGAACAAAACATTTCTTGTTGCTCTTATTTCATGATAGTATCATTCCCTCTGCACCGATGTATAGAATCTCAGAAACTAGAGAATGGGAAAGATGTATTAGGTCATGTCTAGCCCATTCCCACTGGTCACAATTCTTTTTCCCACAGTCTCTCCTCTAGTGCTTTTCTCTTTTAGTTTTCTCAAGAATTTGCTTCTTCGATTTCTCTTGGGGAATAATTTCTTAGTTTGACCATGGAGGAATTTATGTAGAAATATTCATATTCTTTTTCTCAGCTTAATATTTCTGATCATTATAACCCTTTACATTACCATAAGCAGTCCCTGATCTTTCTGAGTGAAGTATTTCTGGATGGAATTTTTTTCCCTTCCACTTATTAAGTTCGGAGTTTGTTTTTCTGCTTTGTTTTTTCTCTTCATCAATCAACCCTAAAGCCCATTAATCATTTTTTACTGGACTGAAAATTCCTTTGCTTATTCCCATATCAGGAACCCAAAACTGGTTAAGGTCCCTGGGTACTGGAGAAAGCCTCACTAATATATGTACTCATTCTGTGTCCCCCTCCTCATTTCTCTCCCTCTTCTCCCTCTCGCTGTCTTTCCTTCCCTCCCTCTCCCTCTTTTTCCTTCCCTTCACCCTTCCCCTTATCCCTTCCACTTTCTCCTTTTCTCAATTTTTAATTAGAAAGTATTTTTAAAATAGTGTTTAAATTTTGATTTGAGGATTTAGTCCTTTGAAAACTTAGTGAGAGTGTGTATATTTATGATTTTGAATGCTAAAATTATATTTGTTCTCAGTTACTTACATGATATTTCTCATATCCTCACAGCAACAAATCTTTTGGGTCTCCTCTTGAGTGCTTGAATAGACTGTAGTTGTAGACCATGAAACTGTGGTAAAGCATTCTGTTTTAGAGATGTCATCTTAGTAGACCCATCAGGAAAAGAAGTTGTTATTTGTATATCTGGAGTTCCTGGGGAAAGGGAAGGAGAAAAGTTACATGTTCTTGGCATGTAAGTTACATATTTAATGTTGGTTATCTGTCAGGCATAAAAACCAAGCCTTGGACTAAGTGCCTATTAGGCATCATAAGGACCTGGGTTCAATCCCCAGCACCACAGGCTGTGCTAGACCTGCTCCTGGGCTCACTGAGCCGGTCACTGAGTCTGGGCCATGTGTGGTGGCACACGCTTGTAATCCCAGCACTTGAGAGGCTGAAAACAGGAGAATCATTATGAGTCCAAGCTGTATAGTGAGGTTCCATACTAAATACATTAAAAAAAAAAAAAAAAAAAAGACCAAGCCTTAATATGCTGTATGGTTTCCTGGAGAGGGAGTCCAGGGTGGTGGCTCTGATGGAAGCAATCTGTAAGCCTCAAGTAAGCCGAGTCAAGAAAACTTCAGCAGATTTTTTATTTTCCTTGAAATTTGATAAAATGACTCCAAAATATATTAGGAAATATAAAGGGCCAAGGATGGGTAAGATAATCTGCAAGAAAAGAAGAGAAAAGGATTCAGTCTACCTGGTCCCAGGTCCCAGGACTTACTTAAAAAGCAGTACGATTCTGTCACAGATATAGACAAATAGGTCAATGGTAAATTTGTAAGAACAGATTCTTTCCAGGTTCTTCATACAGTAGTCCTTTTACAACAAAGATGACCTTCCAGAGCAATGGTCTTCCAAAGCCTTTTCAACAAATGGTGTTAGAACAATGAGATGCCCATGTTGTGTGTGGGGTGGCGGGGATAGAATGCCTACTTCATGTTAAACAGAATACTCCAAATGGATACAGACCAAAATGGTGAAAGGTTAACTTGTGTACACAACACATTCTTTCTGTGTATATATGTGTGTGTGTACTGTACATATCTTCATGACCACTGGAGAGTGAATGGTTCATTTTATGACATAAAACTCTATTTCAAAAGTGATATATTTTAGTAATAAAATTAAGAACTTCTCTTTATCAAAAGGTAGCATAAAGAAAAGACAAATAGCCAAAGGAGGAGAAAAAAATTTTTGTTATACAGGTCATTGACAAAATATTAGTATCTACAATATATGCAAATTCATAATAAATGACAATACAGTCTGGGAAAAACCAAATATCTTGAACATGTTCTTCGTAGAGGTATAGGTAGCCAGTATTCATAATAGCTGTCTTTAATAAGGAGATGAAGTTAAACCATGAGATTGTACCGCAGAGCCAGCACAGTAGCTAAAAATGAAAGGAAGTGCAGCTACTCATAGGAGAAAGAATTTATGCCTGCCTAATAATAACTCGTAGCAGTGTAGTTGGAGATATACATACATCAATACCATGTGACATAAATGCATTAGAGAAATTTGGCACGTAATGCACACAGATAAGATACATTCACATATATAAAAGATATATAACTTTATTTTGCAAGTTGTAAAATGTGCAAAATGTAAAAAGTCTTCATAGATGATGACTTAGCAAAACACAACACAGAGTGAAGAGGGTGCAAATGAATTTTGGGGTCAGTGGCCCTTGTCCTAAAATCCAATTCCACTACCTATTAGCTGTGTGATCACAGGCAGTCTATTAAGATCTGGGCTTCTCAGATTTATTACCTGCAAATCAGAGATAATTATCTCTGGTATTGGTGCAAGAAGGATTAAACATAAAGGATTAAGCACACTAATGAATGTGAGGCAATGAGCATTGACGCTAGGAACATAGTAGTTGCCTCTTCAGTTAAGGCTGATGTTGCTGATATTCTGCTGTAATAGTTGTTAGAATGATAATGCATTTCATTTTTTTCAGAACATTTCAGTTATAGAACATTTACTTGATACTTTTTTCTAGAATATTGAAATCATTCTGGAGAAAAATGACACTTTTTACCTGGTATTGTATTTTTCTACTGTAACTTAGTAATAAGAAGGTATTATTCAAAGAGAAAATGACAGAAGTTTTTAAAACATAAAATTATGCAGAATTGTGCTAGAGAGATAGCTCAATGGTCTAAGCGCCTGCTTGGCAAGTGCAAGAACCCTAGTTTGATCCCTGGTACTGCGTGTCATGCTGGCCCTGCAACCCCGGGCACGCTGTGCCAGCCATCAACACTGGGCATGGTGGTGCATGCCTGCAGTCCCAGCACTGGGGAGGCTGAGAGAGGAGGATCACTATGAGTTTGAGCTGCACAGCAAGTCCCTGTACCACACAAACAAACAAATAAATAAAGGAGTTTTTTAAACTTATGCAGAATTAAAGACTCCTTTTGAAGAAATGAAAAATAAAAAATGACTTTATCAAAATTAAAAGGAAACTGAAGTACAGAAAAGTTAAATATTATCAAAAACGTATTCAAAGTAAAATTTATACGATACGATGAAAATACATGATGAATATCCAATTTTTTTTTAACAAAATTTATACCAAAAACACATTGCCATTAATCTGCCTCAGAATACTGCCTCTACCTTCAAACATACTTATCTTTCTTGCCACTTTCTAAAGTGCTTATGGAAGTGATTGCTCTTTCATGGAGATATGTGCCAGTACCGTGTGACATAAATGCCTTAGATGAACTCACCTTGGCCTGACTACCTCTGCATCCTGAATCAGTTCAAAAACATTTACCATTCCTAATCATTTTGACTTTTCGTATTTTAGGGAAGGGTCTACAGGTTGTTCAAGGTCTCACTACTAAATCCAACTCCCAGTGATCCACCTGTTTACAGCCTCCCAAAAGCTGCAATTACAGGCATGCGCCACCACGCCCAGTCTCAATTGCTGCCTCAGTGTGTGCCCTGGAGGCAGGGCTGGCACAGCAGGCCCGGGGCATTTTGACTTTTAAGAAGAGCCAGAAGTCAGGCAGTGTCAAGTCCAGTGCATACTGTGCTGGAGGACACAGAGTGAGGGGTTTTTTTGCAATTCTTCCTTTCCACTGGATGGCACTCACCAGCAGCATTCACTGTAGTTTTGATTATGCTTCTTAAAGACATTCTCAAAAGAGGACTTCCAAAACTGCTTCAGAAAATAGCATGCATGGTGCAATTAGTGGTTCAAAGCTGAGGGCAGTGCTTTGAGGGGGATTCACGGCAGTGTGTCTTTTAAAGTTTAAACATTCACTGTATCTTTTTATTATACTTGCATGTTTCCTGATTTTGAGCTAAAGACTATATTTTAAATTATATTAGTAATTATTTTTTAAACTGTAACTACACAGAAGTAATGTTTATCCCTAATGCCATGGTCTTCATTTTTTTAACTGCAAAATAAGTAGTCAGATGAAAAGTGTTGAGTTTCTTTCTTTCTTTCTTTTTTTTTTTTTTTTTTTTTTTTTTTTTTTTTTTTTTTTTTTTTGGCAGAACAGGGGATTGTACTCAGGCCCTTGCACTTGCCAGGGAAGTGCTTATTCCACTGAGCCATCTCCCTGGCCCTTGAGTTTCTTTTAATGTCTGCTGCAATTTGAGTCGATGTCTGAATCGTTTTTCACTGATCATCAGAATCAGTGATCTTTTCTCTTGGGGATTGCTCCCCATACTGCACAGTTCATCTTTTGATGCTGGTCATGATTAAGTTGCCATGTTGAACCCTTACTTATCTCTTCATAAATGCAGACTTCTTATGTGTCTTTGTGTGTACAAGTTTGTGAGAGCAAAAATACGTTTTGTCATTTCTCATCAATAGCATCTAGCACAGTCATTTGCAGAAAGAAGACCAAAAATACACACCATGATGGTAACTGTCTAGCCCATTTCAGTTTGCAAAAACAGAACTAGCTATCACAGCTGTGGCATTGTGAATCTTGTCTCAGAAGCAAATGTGTTTTTCTTTTTTCCAGAAAGACAGCATGAAGCGAGTGTTTTCTGGCATTCAACCTACAGGAACCCTCCACCTGGGAAATTACTTGGGAGCCACTGAGAGCTGGGTGAAGTTACAAGACGAGTATGACACAGTGCTGTACAGTATTGTGGACCTCCACTCCCTCACTGTCCCCCAGGACCCCACCGTCCTTCAGCAGAGCATCCTGGACATGACGGCTGCCCTCCTCGCCTGTGGCATAAACCCAGAGAAAAGCATCCTTTTCCAACAGTCTCAGGTTAGCTTGCCGGGTTACAACTGAGAACATCTTTACTTTCAGATTATTTGAAGTAAAATTTGAATGATTGAAATAGCTCCTTTTCATGAGTTTTAAAAACTGAGGATGACTTCACCAAATGTGATTATTTCACTTTACTCTCTTATCTGTACTCATATCATTAAGTATTTTCATATTTCAGTAGTATTTTTCAACTTTTCTTCCACTATTCTTCAAAAATGAATAGTTCTTCATCTACCAAGAAGTTGTATTTGATCAGTACTTCCAAATTTGGAACTGTTTTTCTATATTGTATTGCATTTAATCTGATGACTTCCTGCTGTTGACTAATCTCTTTGATCAAGAATAGGACATAGTGATCAATGGTTTTATATAATTCAAGTGTTGCTTTTTGGATATATATTTGGTAGGCCTAATGGATAAGTCCCATTGTTCATTCATTATATAATAGTTTTTGATAAGATTTGATAAAATAAGCTGGGAAATTGGAAGACAGAGTCCCAGAGTCTTGTGGCCAAGCCAAGAAAGACTTCAGAAGAAAGCCAAAATACTTGATTAATATCTTCATTATACGTGAATCAGTTTATTCTTGGACAGGCAAATAGTCTGGCGCTGATACAGGATAACTGAGAAACACTAGCAAGTATGATATAATTTTACCTGCATCAAGCCCGCATTACATATTTACTTTAACCTGCAGCAAAAGAATTATTTTCTTTAATCATAAGCATCTATCATTATTTTAATGTATGTCTTATTATGCTTTGAACTTAGTGTAACAATTCATACAAAGCAAGTGGTTGAAATATATATAGTAATTACATGGCTGAGGTGTAGCTCAGTGGTAGACTATTTGTCTAGCATGCACATGCCCTGTGTTTGATTTCCAGCACTACAAAACGCATGCACATATGCCAAATGCAGTTGTCTTCAAAATTCAATTATGTTATCAATTTGAGCTTGTTGCCAGTGCATAGATACTTTGATAAAATACTAGAATACAATCATTAAAAGACCAATAAAGATAATTTATCCCAAGGAATTTTGTTTTTTAGTCAAAAAACATTTACTTACTCATGGCTTTTCAGATTCAGTTTTGGAAAGCTATAGTTCTGTCCAACACTTGCTTATATTGAGTAAACATCTGTCTTTCTATAATTTCCATCCAGGGCTGGGGAGATGGCTCGGTGGAATAAGCGCTCCCCTGGCAAGCGCAAGGGCCTGAGTTCAATCCCTGGTTCCGCCAAAAAAAAGAGAAAAAAAAAAAAAAAATGCCTGAGCAAGTATAATTTCCATCCATTCAGTTAATGTCTGCTCTCTAAATATAGACAACAAATGAACTCTTCTACACAGCTACTCTTCACATACTTGGAGACATGTATTATATACTATCCTTACCCTGAAGGGTTTCTCTTCTAAATTTATTGTTTCCAGTTCACTCTGTCCCAGTGAGACCTACCTTAGAAGTATTCTCCCTTTCTCTCTGAAAGGAATGTGTCTTTCATATTTCATGCAATAAGGTTTATTCAAGCTCTTTGCATCCGTGTCTCTCTATCACATGGAAAGGTGGTCATCATCAGGATCATCTAATGATTTTGCTAAGCACATCATCTTCGTTTTATCTATGCTGGTTTTTTTTTTCCAGTACTGGGAATTGAACTTAGGGTACTTGTGCTTGCCAGGTAGGTGCTGTGCTACTGAGCTGTATCACTGGCCCTAATCTGTTTTTAATACAAATTCTATCTTTATCCATTTTTGATGCTATTTCTAAAAATTGCATTCCAACTTGAAGTGCATATTGTCTTAACTGAATATGTCTATATCCAGTCAGTCCTTGTCAAATGGTTTTCTAAATAACTTGTAATTATTAACAGCTTATTTACAGTAATATTCAACAAATGTACTTTAAACTTACTCCTCCAGAAATAATTACCATATTATAATATTAGCATATTATAGATGTGTTTCCCTTTGTAAAGGGTCTTTGGTGGGGACCTCCATGAGGTCTAAATTTCTCAGTAATTGTTATTCATTTTCCATATGGCAGCATTGTTGTGTAAAACAGCAGTTATGAAAGAGTAATTCACAGCATAACCCCTTTCCTAAATGAGGGGTAAGAAAGTGTACCTTCCATCTGAATGGTACCATGGAGCTTCACAAGCTCAGGGATTCTAAGAAAGCTGTAGTTCTGGGTCGCAGCATGCATGGGGCAGTGCTGACTACGTGTGTCTGCTTCCTGTCTGCTTCCTCAGTGTAGGTCTGAGGCTGCCTCACAGTTCCTTCCCTTCCTGCCTTTCCTGTCAGCTCTGTTGTAAGGAATTTTGATAGTTCAGCAGCAAGCTTGAGAGAGGTATTCATTTTGCCTGCATTTTATAACATTTTCCTCGAAGCCAATCCAAAAGGCTTCCTCAGTCTTTCTGACTGTGGGTCATGCTTAATCTTGACCATTTCCTTTTCTTTTTTGTTGACAAATGAAACTTATGTATATATATAAGTACAATGCAATGTTTTGTTAATATGTACAAACTGTACAGTGCTAAATCAACTTCATGAACATATTAATTACCTCATGTTTTTGTAGTGAGAACATTTAAAATTTATTTTACATGTTGTTGACTTCAGTGCTGTGGTATACAAAAAGCTTCTCAAATTTGTTCCTTCTGTCATTTTGTATCTCATGTCACCAGCGTTTCTCCATTTCCTCAACAGTTCCCTATGAGTTCTTTTTTTTTTTTTTTTTAATGTATTTGGGACAGGGTCTCACTACATACCTCAGACTCATAGTGATCCTACTGTTTTCAGCCTCCCCAGTGCTGAGCTTAGAGATGTGTGCAACACCTCGCCCAGTCTGTGAGTTCATTTTTTGTTAGATCCCACATATGCCCTGTATGGTATTGATATTTCTATGCCTCACTTATTTCTCTTAACATAATTTTGTCCTGGTTCATCCACGTTGTCACAAATGATAGGATTTCCTTCTTTTTCAAGACTGAATAGTATTCTGCCCTGGGTATATTTATTTATGCCACATTTTCTTTATCCATCAATTGATTGACACCGACTGACTCCACATCTTGGCTAATGTGAAGAGTACTGCAGAAATCATGGGCATGTAGACATCTCTTTGACATACTAATTTTATATTCTTTGGACATATACCCAATAATGGGCTTTTGTGACATTTCTGTTTTTAACTTTCTTTGAAACCTCCGTGCCATTTTTCATAATGACTATCCTAACTAATAGTCCCTACAAGCAAAGAGTTCTCTTTTCCCATGTTTTGTTAACAATTATTATCTTTTGACTGTTTAATAATATCCATTGAAATAATGTGAAATCATTAACTTCTCAATTAGCTGTCTGAAGTTAGACACCTTGAGCAATCCAGGGCTTTTATTATACCCCTAGAGTATCACTTTCATAAGAAGTATTTGTGGGCTGGGAATTTTGTTCTGCCCCCTGCCTGCCAACCTGCACCATGCCTTTTCCTTAGGAGCTCCTGGCAGAGGGACAATAGGGATCCCCAGCCAACATCAAGGGTTCTACATTATTTCTTGCCTCGAAATGAAAATCCCCTTTACTTCTGTCCCACACTTACAGAATGGCAGTTCATTCCCTGAGTGGCAGTTACCTTTCTTTCTTTCTTTCTTTCTTTCTTTCTTTCTTTCTTTCTTTCTTTCTTTCTTTCTTTCTCTTTCTTTCTTTCTTTCTTTCTTTCTTTCTTTTTGTGCTCATTATTAACTTTATAGAAAATCAATAATAATTATATAGCAAATTAAAAACTGTAGCTTTTTCCCATCTTGCAAGATGGCAGGTGAAAAAACTGAGAAGCCAGACACTAAAGAGAGGAAACCCAAAATGAAGAAGGCTGCTGCCAGTGGTACTGGTTAAAAGGGTAAGGTGAAGGCAAAAAAGTCCAAGAAGGGCAGCCCCACTGCAGCCGAAGTCCTGTCCTGGTTACAGGAATTGGTAGATAGTCCCGATCTGCTATGTGTTCCAGAAAGGCTTTGTACAAGAGAAAGTTCACAGCTGCTAAATCAAAGGTTGGGAAGAAAAAGAAGGAGAAAGTTCTTGCTACGATCACAAAACCAGTCGGTGGGGACAAGAATGGAGGTACCCAGGTGGCTAAGCTTCGAAAAATACCTAGATACTACTCTACTGAAGATGTGCCCCGAAAGCACTTAAGCCATGGCAAGAAATCCTTCAGTCAGCATGTGCGGAAACTTCGAGCTAGCATCACTCCTGGCATCATTTTGATCATCCTAACCGAGTGTCATAGAGGAAAGAGAGTGGTCTTCCTGAAGTGGTTGGCCAGTGGCTTGCTACTTGTGACTGGGCCTCTTAGCCTTAATCATATTCCTCTAGGAAGAACACACCAGAAATTTGTCATTGCCACCTCTACAAAAACATATCAGCAAAGTGAAAATCCCCAAACACCTCACTGATGCTTACTTCAAGAAGAAACCCAGACACCAGGAGGGCGAGATATTTGACACCAAGAGAGAGAGATACCAAATTTCAGAGCAGAACAAGGTGGATCAGAAACCCGTGGAGTCACAGATTTTAGCAAAAATCAAAGCCGTTCCTCAGCTCCAGGACTACCTGCGATCCGTTTTTGCTCTGACAAATAAAATTTATCTTCATAAATTAGTGTTCTAAATTTCTTACTATCCTAATTGTCTTAGTTACTTTTTATTGATTGTTGGGATAAATCCCTGACACTCAAAATGAAGGAAAGGTTTATTTACCTCACAGTTGCTGGAGGGTTCAGTCCATACTCCTATGGCTCCAAAGCAAAGATCAGCAGTTCAAGGCAGCAGAAAACAATTAAGAGCAGAGGAGGAGCAGTAGCTGCAGTGTCCATGAAACCTGACTTCTACACTAACTGCGAAGGCCAGCACTCCACGGCTCCTCAGAGGACTGCGGCTTCTCCATGGAAGTGGGACAGGAAGTGGAGCAGAGCAGCAAGAAACCTTCCTTAATTCCTTTATATATACTTT